GTAACTACGTAAGTTCAACATCTTTTCAACGTCAAGTTAAAATATAGTTTGCATTTCAATGTAGAATCAACGTTGAAAATGTGTTACGTTTTTCAACCAAACTCCTATTGTTTATCGAACGTTTTTTTTTAACGTTAAATACACGTTGCAAATATGTTGAGATTTTAATGTTACAGTATGAACATAAGTTCAATGTTTTTTCAATGTGAAGTTAAAATATAGTTTTCTATACTACTTTATTTCAACATTGAATTCACTATGAAATCTGGTTGAGATTTTTACATAACAATTACAATGTTTATTCTACATTTTTCTCACGTTAACTCTAAACATAATTTTTATTTCAATGTAGAATCAACATTGAAAATGTGTTGTTTATTTTTACAAGGTATCCATTACTTACTCAACGTTATTCCAACAATAAATAAACGTTGCAAATGGTTTAGATATTAAAATTACATTAGCAACATTAGTTCAACATCATTTTAATGTAATGTTAAAATATAGTTTGTATTTTAACATATACTCAACTTTTAAACTATGTTGTTTTTCTGCCAAAAACCTATAGTTTATTCAAAGTTTTTTCTACGTTAAATAAACGTTGAAAATATGTTGAGATTTGAATGTTACAGTAACAACGTAAGTTCAAGATTTTCACAACATCAAGTTAAATTGTAGTTTGCATTTCAATGTAGAATCAACTTTGAAAATGTGTTTTCAACCAAAGGCCTATTGTTTATTTAACGTTTTCTCAACGTTAAATAAATGTTTAAAATATATAGTTTTTTACTCAACTTTATTTTAACATTAAATTCACTTTGATATCTGGTCGACATTTTAACATAACAATTGCAATGTTTATTCAACATTTTTCCTAGCCTTTATTTCAATGTTAATCATCGTTGAAAATGTGTTGTATTTCTACAAAGCACCCATTATTTACTCAACATTGTTTCAACAATAAATAAATATTGAAAACTGGCTGAGATATTAAAATTTCATTAGCAACATTAGTTCAACATCTTTTCAATGTCAAATTAAAATGTAGTTTGTATTTTAATGTATAATCAACATTCAGAATGTGATTTTTTTAACCAAGTTTAAATTTCTTTAACTCAACCTCAACTTGATATGAAGGTTTATATAAATAATTGTACAAGATTTATTAAAGTTTATCTCCATGGTAGGGTATAGAAAACTCATATTATGGGAGCGTATTATCTTTAATCATTATAAGGTATACATTACATGGTTCTCTGTCCTTGAAAGTGTGGCAAGTAATGGGATAATCGGATTAGGTCATTAGGTACAGACCAATCAGAAACAAATGCTCATTTTTTGAAGTATCATTTGCTGTACGTTGGCTTCATACATACACAGTCTACATACTACAAATTTCAGCATTGTCAAATAAATTATGGTAAGAATTTTATATTTGTATACAATATTAAAGGGTGTATCTAGGCTAGCCCAATATCGTAACTGTATAAGCTTGCTTTATTTATTTGGTTATCTTTGTTCTAGCTAGAATAGGCCAGCAGGCCCTCTGACCCTAGCCTAGTAGTAGTAGTAGCTGCAGCTAGGTAGAGACTAGGTTAGTAGTTGTAACTAGGTAAGAGACTAGGCCTA